CATACATACATCATCATCACATCACACAAAACATATAATATAACATAATTATAACACATTCCACACATCAAACATTTCTACATAGTCTAATTCAACAACAATTAGGCTTTCCTTTGCCCAATTATCCCCGACTATATAATCTTGAAAGCTAATCAGGCCGAGCCATTATCCTGAGTTTTTGCCATTGTCGCTTCCTTTCACATCAAAGAAGCCGACTTCTCATATAAAAAAAATTTCTTCCTATCCCAACTTCCTTTCTCATTCCTTCAAAATTCAACGTATATAGACATAAAACATCAATATCTCACTGGTACTCGCAACACGATACACAAGAATGACACATCTACACAGAAAACAAATACTTTGAGTGAGTACAAATATTTTGATTGAATCTAAAAATTTTTGCATTGTATAATTTTTTTCATATCTTACATGTATTTGTAAAATTTAAACAATGTTTATAAATCCCAGGTCCTGAAGATGATCTCAATAAAGATCGAAACGTTGACGCGATAAAGAAAATGTTTTTCTAAAACCTACGTCACACCAGACCGCATCTCACGATCTTCAAATAATTATATTTATAATTTTAAAATTTATATTATTTACATTTGTATTGTATTTTTCGTTCCAGATGCAACTGAGCTATTTCAAAATGCTAGGCAGGCGTTTATGTATAAAATATTTTTTTAAACTAGTAAAAGGTTTGTTATGTTACAAGTAGATAATGCTTTTCAACGTCTTCCTATTTCTTAACGACCTCAGTCGTAAGCAATAGAAGCAAAGACGTCTATTTGCCAATCTCATTCGAATTTTCGATCGAAAAAAGAATGAATTTCTGTTTAAATTTCTAACAACAGTTACTCTTCAAATTAGTAAATCTATTTTCTAAAAAAAACATTATTAACAAATGTTAATAAATATACTGCTCTTTGCAATAAAAACAACAGTTAAAATAATACTGCGCCCAGCCAGAATAAAAGAGCTATGTATAAAGGAAATTAATTTTACAGACGTCCTTAAATGCTCTTTTCAATGGGTCTTCGATGGTGTTTTTAATGGCCAACTGATATACACCAAGTTTTTTGTCTTCTGACTTCCGTATTTTTATGATTTCATGGATTATCTGCTTCATTCCCGGTCATTGCTATACATTCCTGTGTATCTTTTTTGCTTTTTATGATTTATTTTATATTTTGTAAGCGACACAAATTTTAGGAGTTTTTAACATGTAATTTGCTTTGATTTTATACATATTATATAATTATCCTCTTTGAGCAGCATAGCAGTCTACCAGATTTTAGCGGGTCATTTCTTTCGTATGTAAATCTTCCTTCATCGTCAAAGTGTCTTATAATATAATGAAATTCTATATTCGTAAGTTTACTTGCTACCTGTGAATTTGAATTAACTATTTTTAATTCGTTTAGTTGAAAGCTGGTTGATCATTGAGAAAAAACCAGACTTAATCGAATTTTGATTGAACGTTACGCCACAGACACATTTTGTCCTGATTCAAAATCAAAACATACCGTTGTATGAGATAGACGATTTTGTCAAAATTAATCCGTATATCTTAAGGGGTCATAATTTCCCAAATTAATTATGCCAATTAATTATTATTTTTATCTAAGGTCTTGGTTGCTTTGACAAAGTCAATGTCCCGCTCCTGACACTTTCATCTCAACCAAGACCTTAGATGAAAAGAATAAATAATTGAAGTAAAATTAAAGTTACGGCAATTGTTATAGTTAAACATAATACATACAAAAACCTATCTCTAACACTCCTGTCTCCTTTCTCCCTCCCTTCTCTCTCTCTCTCTCACTCACTCTCGCTCTCGTTCTCGCTCTCCCTCTTTCTCTTTCTTTCTATCACTTTCTTTTTTTAACTAAAAACGTACAATGTATGTGAAATTTAAGATTAAAATTAAAATTAACCAACTTTTTATTCTGAATATTAAATATTCAGCGAAGCGTAAGTTCTTATTAAAAATTAGTTAATTAAAAATTCTTATTAAAATTCAAGGTGGTTCTCTTCACTTTAATCCCTCCGACCTCTGATTGGCCCACCAAATGATCAGAGGATTAGTAGTGTTATGAATACCGTCCGTTTTTCGGCAGTTTATTGTTTTTCTCTGGTTGGTGCGCCTTGTTGTTCTCACTATCTAAAAATTAGTCGTCTTTCCCCTTTCAACGAATTTTTTTTTGTTTCAACAAGAGAAAATTATCTTCCGAAAAGTGTTACACAGTCAAGGTGTTGACTGAATTTCCTCATCATTCCCGACGGAAAAGTCTAAAGCCTTGCAGCGGACCGACGGTCGTTATCCTGCAAGGGCGAATTGTAATGTGAGTGAAACATTTCTCCTCTCGGCAAATGATTTTCTCATTTTTCACTCTTGTTACAAATTTTTGTTAATAATCTAAGGATTTAATTTATTTAATTGCAGAGTTTTATTTTATTTTAAATTAGTTCTTTTTTTAATTACATGTTCGAACGATTCAGGCGACGTCATAAAGCACGAAATGCTGAGCCTGATTATCGTTAGGTGGACCTCCAGTGTTTCCATCGCTGTTACCGTGGTTTTGGTAATGAGACCATTGAATGATATGATAGGCGCCACTTTTGACCAAAAATATATTTCAATTCAGCCTCGATTTGCTGATATTTGCAGATTTTTTGGCCATAGGTAGAGTTTGTGTTTCAGTTTATTTTGAAAAGTTGGTTGAAAGAAATCAGGTATTTCGTCGATGTTCAATTTATTTAGAGATGAATATTTCGGGATGTAAACCCATATTCAGCATTTCAAACAAAATATAATCATAACAAGCTACATTTACTAAAGGAATAGTTTAATAATTAAAATTACGTTTAATGTAAATCATACCAAGCCTAAGATTCCGAGATATTACAACCATTAATCGATACGGTTCATGCCAAAGTTATACATAAAACTGAAACAATGCTTGAAATATTAATGTAGGTGTTGGCATCGTGGCAAATTTAACAAGAGGTGGGCAACGGAAAATCCCACATACTGGAAATATCAGTTTTACTTCAATTGATTCGGGGCAAGTTGCCCCGTAGAAGAAACTTGAGTGAGACCCAAAAACTTGACTTCAAACGAAAGAAAGTCCAAGATATTATATTAAAATAATAGTTATATATAAATATAATATTTCCATTTTTTCACATCATTGTTCTTTAACATAGCCTTAAAAACTCCTGTCGAAAATCAATAGTGTTTTTATTACATTTATTTGTTAGTTCCAACCAGAAATAACATGTTAAGTAAATATTTTCGACTTCCACTGATGTACGTGTTGGAGACGTTACCCAGTGATAACACTCTTATACTAGAGACATCTTCAATCCTCACTCAATGAGATGGTCTCGGAGCCACTTTCACTAGAATCATCTTTGAGGATTTTCGAGTAGGGTTGGAAGTGATAACTATCTCTGGTTGATAATTGTGTACGCTCGGAGAGAGATGAATTTTTTTTTTTAATTTTTTGAGTTCATGTACAAACGGGATGTGTAGGTTGTTATGAATAGTGTCATTTGAAACATAAAAAGGAGCATCTGTAATTTGACGGAGAATTTTAGATTGAATTGATTGGAGACTTTGGGAATTGAGAATTCTTAGTGGAGCACCCACTTCTCACTGTAGGCCAAGAGAGGACGTATAAATGAGTCTACATAGTCATAAGTCTTTATCTGTTAATGATTTATTGTGAAAAGCATGGACTTAAAATTTTTTAATGTATTTATTGAACCATCTAACCATCTAAATGTGTGTTTAATACCTTTATTGTTTTGTATAATGACTGTTTTTTTTGGGATATATTATTGCTAAACTAATTTATGTTTAAAGTATATTTTAAGATTAAATGCTTCTTATACTAAATGCAGACTAGGTGAAAAATGTACAATGCATACTGTAAATAAAAAATTATAAAAAAATAAATGATATCCAATAAAAATCCCTCATCTATATTGAGAAACGTCGATAACAAAACAAAACAAATATATAAAAATAATTAAAATTCGAGATTACATGTTTTGTTATTTTTTGACTAGTACATATTCTTTTTTTTAAATTGGTTAGTACATTTTCTAAACCGAATGTACATATACATTATGTTTAACCAATAGTCCATCGATTAATCATTATTTAACAACTCAGCCAGGTTCTGTAAATTATTCAATGCATGATACAGCTGAAAATATCAAGGTTTTGAGAAATCATTATTGTATCATTATAATTATTTTATCATGCAACTATTAAATTTGGAAATGTGTATTTTGTCTTATATAATTAGCAATCAATGTTACAATTATAAAATCCATTAGATTTCGTGGTCCAACAAATTTCTTCTTTCAACTAATTAATTTTTTGTCAGGTTTTGGTTGAAATTATAATGTTATAATTATATTTAAAAACGACAACTCAACAATGTAATTATTCTTGATTTAAATGTTTAGTGAGTAGGAACCTAAAAACGTTTTTCAGAAATTATATTCTTAGAGAAGTTATATTAAAAAATTACGAACCAACAAAAAATTACAAAATACATCGATTATAATTATTAATCTCTATTATCAGTTTGCCTCATTGAATTATAGAAATGTCTAAAACAGTAAAATAAATGTGTAAAAATATGATAATTATATATTACAAATATAACAACGTCAATTCTTTTCTTGTTGCTCTATCATGTGTCAGTAATTGTGATACTAATAAAGTGCTAATTGAAAGTCTAAAAAGATATTTTAAAATAGAATAAAAAGGTTTTTGGTTGTACGCAGTACAATAACGAATATAATTGTTCCATTGATTAAACTAGTCAATATGTTTATTTTTAATAGCGTATGCATATTTTAATAATTTCCATTTTTGAGCTCCTGAAACCTGCTTATCAAGGAAACTATTATGAAGTATCATACGACTAAAATGCTTGTCGCAAGAACAGGCGTTTTAATCGAAAAGCATATGTTTTTTTATTTTTAATTTCGATCGGTCAGTTTACATTTGAAATCAAAAACCTATAATATAAAAAAAAGTATGTAGTAATTTTTTTACATTTTGTGTTTGGCCTCAGGAAATAACAAGATTCAAGCGAGGACAGGTAACAAGCATTTGGGAGAAAAACACAATTAACTGGGAGTACCGAAAAAAATAATGGATAATCACATGTTACATTGAATTCATACAAAAGAGGATCACGAATTGTCCGAGGTTCCGAGCAAACGTACGGTTTTTGTCATGGGTAGAAAAATGATCATATTCAACATCGATTCTCCAAATAAATAAAACAAGGATGGAAAAAGGCTTGTAAGTGATTACGGTAATTTTATTGAGAATTTTGGGATCGAGAATGCATACGATGAGGCGTGCGGCGAATCGCGCCCTGCAGCACTGGAGGCTGGATCGTCTGCGGCAGAAAGCCGGCATCCACGACTTGGAGAGGCTGTCGAGGTTCCGCCACCTCTTCTCCGGGGTGCCGAGGCTCCTCAGGTTCAACTCGGCCTGCGTGATGAGGAGCTGCGTCGCCCAGGTGGAGTTCGTGATCGCCTTCAGAATCCGCCGGGGCGTCCAGGTGCTTAGCTTTTACTCCGGGCACTGGGACCAGCTCACCGTCCTCCGCCTCCTCCACCGAGTCAAGCTGTTCCTTCTGACACGGACCAGGGACGCGCTCATCGCGGCCGTCAGTTACAAGTTCGACTGGGACGCCAACAGGATAACCGAAACCGAACTCCACACGTAATATGCGATTTATTATTTCAACCGATTGCCATAGCGGTTAGTTTTTAGGAGGTCTGTAGCAAATTATTCAGCGTTTGTCGGTTACATCGATCTTCTTATTTTTTTAACCTGCGTTACTGCTATTTTGCGGTGAAGCAGATGTTTTCGCATATTACCAGCTGGTACCGTTTCTAAAATTTCATTCCACCGTAAATATTTTACGTACCTGACGCTTTTTTCAAATTTAGCTCCAACCGCCCGAACAAAAATAATTACGATTTTAACTGACGGTAGAGTACGTAATAAAAAATTTAATGAAATGTTACAAACATAAAATTTAACTGTAATGTGTAACGTATCTGGTTCTTTGCATTGTCATACAAACCTCTGCAATACATGTTTAAAAACAAATTGAGAATGTTAATATTATTTTAAAAAGATTAAATAGTGAGCTCTCAATAGGGATCAGGGACGTGGCCCGAAGTGAATTATAAAAATAACCAACTTAGATTTAAAATATATATACCAACAAATTAAGTAAAAATTATGTTTAAAAAAAAAATTTGAGTTAATATGGTTTGTCCTTTTTTGTACTTGTTCTTTTAAGTCATGTTTGATTTAGGTCCTAGAAATGTTCGTAGTTATACAAGTGGTCTGTTGCGTTCTCTTCGCTAAATTCTTGTGTTACGATTCGACGTCAATCTACTGTCCGCAAATAGTCCTAAATTTTGAGATTTCTATCAGCGGGGTAATGGACCTGTAATTCGGTCGTTACAGTTTATTTTTGTCTGCATATCATCGATGGTTTGAGTATTTCGTCATCTTCAGCGCTTTTTGGTTTCGTTCCCTTATAGTACGTCATAGAGTAATAAGTTTTTCTTTGTATGTCCTTAGGGGTTACGGACGTTGTCTTAACACAATTTTTTTCTTTTTAATCCCTGAATTAGAAACCTTTTAAAGCCTGATGGCAGTCAACAATTTGTTTGATGATACGTTTATAATTTTGAAGATGCGATCATCAGGTTGAACACTACAAGTAGAAATGTGGCATTTTCCCTTTCCACAAAGGGTCCTTATTGAAATTTTCACTCGGCTGGCAAACATAGATCGTTGGAAAGTTGATGCTTTTAGATTAAGCTCAATCGGGAGAACATCACTGTTCTCTACATGTTGGAGAGGTCTCATCTCTAGGCTGATATCGAAATTTCCATTTTTTCAAACCATGTCCACTTCTATAAAGTTGCAGACAAAATGGGAGTAAATGTCGCAAATATATACCACAACTTAATTTTAATTAAAAGATTGCCAAAAAATCCTTGCATTTACAAACAGATGCACTTTAATAAACAATAAAAAATTCACCAAAAAACAATAAATGAATAGCAAAATAAAAAATTAAAACAAAGAAAGAAAAGAAATAATTGTTTTTACATTGATTATTTCGAGATCGTGAGATGCGGTTTGGTGTGACGTAGGTTTTAGAAAAACATTTTCTTTATCATGCCAACTTTTCGATCTTTCTTGAGATCATCTTCAGGGCTCAAAATGTTTGTTCTGTGTAGATGTGTTATTATTGGGTGCCTTGTTGAGAGTGCCCATCTCACGATCTCCAAATAAGCATTAACTGACGGTCACTAAACACCATACATTGTTTTTACAGATTAGCTTAACAAATTGTTGAAACAGAAATAATGTTATGAACACAGTTTTCAAATTACGCCTAAAAAAATTAATGAACTAATCAGAAGGCCGAATAGTTAATATCATATCGGCAAATCTACCTACCATGAAATTTCATTTGATGACCCATGCAGTACGCATATCAAGCGAGCCCCCTCCCTGTAGGACTACCATCTGTAATCGCTAAGGCCTACCTCATCTGTAAACATAACTCGTTTCCAGCAAAACGCAATCCAGCAAAACATGTCCACATGTTTAAACCCTTAACGCATTGATAATTAGTGTAAAACATCAGATGCTGTATATTTTCGTTGTCTTATATATTTACATTTATTATAATGTTTTGGCAAATTTGTCAAGTCCTTAACACTTGTCAAATGTATGATCATTCAAATTATAGAGACATTTTCTAAATTTATTACAAACCCATTACTGTTTTTATTTATTTAGAAATCGTGAGATGTGGTCTGGTGTGATGTAGGTTTCAGAAAAACATTTTCTTCATTGTGCCAACGTTTCGACCTTTATTGAGATCATCTTCAGGGCTCAAAGTGTTTGTCTTCTGTGTAACTGTATTTATTGTAGATATAATTGATATTTATGGTATATGATTTATAATGAACTTTTTTTTCACTTTACTAAATAGTACGTCTTTATAAATATTTACGTCTTTAATGCACCGTACATAAGATTACATTATATCAATACGGATATTATTGATGGGTGTATTCTGCGGGAAGAGGTTTTAAAGTAATCTGTAATAAGGTTCACAATTTGATAACTAGTGATACAAATTAAAATATTTGCAGGCATTCTAAAGAATTTGAAACATGTACCAAGCTGCTTAAGGACTGCACGGATCCGAAAGGTCCTGGTTGCGCGGAAGGTGGTAATGTAAATTTATACTCGGATTCTTTAAATTTTTCAGTTATAATGATTTTAACTGACACATATATTTGCTAAGTACCGACTGAGCACGGCTGGGTGAGAGTGATCCTCCAGGACAACATCAGCATTTGGAAAAAAGAAGTTCGAAGTGGCCTGTACACATACAAAGGTGATTATGACGTTTCTACAAATTTTTGCATATTGTCACCATATTTTCCTTCTAGTTTACGCCAAATATTCAGACGTAACGGCTGCAGATTTCTTCAGTCTATACCTCGACATCGAAAATCGTACCAAGTGGGACGCACACGCTATCATACTGAAGATAATTGACAGCGAGGTCGAAACAAACTCTGATATTATCTATTGGGAGACAAAATGGCCGGTACGAGGACAATTTAAACGATTAGAACGCACCAAAAGACAAACCGACTTGTTTCAGACCTTCTTCGCAAACAGGGACTACGTTTACAATAGAAGATGGATGATCGACCGGAACAAAAATGTCATGGTCATCAAAAGCAAAAGCACGCAGCATCCAGATGGCCCTCCTATTCCCGGGAAAGCGAGAGTTGTTGAATATTGGTCTTACGTGGTCATTAAACCATTTAAGGACTTTGAAGAGGTATACATTTAATTAGGATTAATACCTAATCCTATAAAATACCTAATTATAGTTTAATATCACATTTATTAGAGCTATTATATAGCTATTCGACTGAAGTTTTAACGTTTCAAAAATAATCCACACTTAACTTTCTCTCACTTAGCATGGCCATTGAACATATGTACATAATTGAAAACTTTAACTATATATCATAGGAAGCGTGATTGGAGGATTGCCCCCTTAATTTTGTAAATCAAACAGCTTTCACATGCTTATTATGCCAACAAAAAATACCAAAGGCGTTTATGAAAACTATCTAAATTGGAAATCTTCAAAAATTGTTCTAATCCGTATTTTAGCATTCATATAAAAATTATATTAATTTCAATTAATTAATCTTTATGTAAGGTATTGGTTGAAATGAAAATGCTAGTGCCCTGAGCGCGATTCGAACCCTCGATTTTTGGCTAAATACGCCGCTCCTCTACCACTTGAATGTTCGTGACTTCGACTCGGACACTAACACCAAATGGGAGCATGGTGGGTTCGAATTCCGCTCGAGGCACTAGCTCATTCAATTTCAACCAATACCTTACACAAAGATGAATTAATTGAAAGAAGTTATGTGGTCAATCGGACCACGAAATATAATGGATTTAATAACATTAATATATTTTCAATTTTAATTTCTGTCAGATCCATTTTAATGTTTTGTATTTTTTAGCCTGGTCTCGAGTTTTGTTTAACATATTTTGATAATCATGGCGCTAGTGTTCCGAATTCACTTTCTCAATGGGTCACTGTCAGTGGTAAGCCAAAATTTAGTTTTCTTTTTTTCTTCTTCTTTCTAAAGCAAAGCTTTTCGACAATAATGTAATATAGTAAATGAAGTATGTAAATAATGATTTAAACGTGTAATTAGCATAAATATGGAAATTAGAATTGAAATTGGAACGTGGTTTTACAATTTCGGCTGTTGAATGTTTTGGTAGAAAACATAAACACCTTGCATTTAACAAACCAAGGTGATAATGGAAGAGTAAATTACAATTTTAGGTGTGCCTGATTACGTAAATCGGCTGAGGGCGGAGGCGTTATTTTTGAAAAAACAGCGAGAAGCTAATAAGAAGAAAATCAAACCGGAAAAAATTGTGGACGAAGATGACGAGAATAGAAGAAGAGAGGCGGAAGAACCTCCCAGTGAACCTCCTGAAGATGGCGACTTCCCGAAACCCGATCCGGCTTTCCTTATATTGTTCACGATAATGGAAAAAGTCAAAAATGCATCTTCGTAAGTTTGGAAACTTCTACATTACTATTCAAATTCAAAAACAAATAAAATTAGTGACTTCTAGGAAAGTCCAACTTGTCTAGAACCGGATATCAGCGTTAGTTCAACAAGACTCGGAGACTTCTTACAATTAAACGAGCGGCCGTTTGAAACTTTTGAGACATTATGTAAATAAAGTAGTTGAAAAAAAAGTAATATATATTCCTCTAATATTCTCTAAAATAAACACATGTAAATGTAATAACGTTTTCTCATTTGAGCCCGTAAAGAAAATACATTTTTACGGTATAACCTACTTTACCGTCTCCTTTTACGGCATTCTTTCGAAAACCCATCTCCGTTGGTCTACAGCCGTAAGCAGCTGGATATGATAACGAAAAAACTTATCCAGCGTTTCATTTTCTTTTCGTCTAAAAAAGTTATCTCTAAAATTAATTTATATTTACAAAAAATTTGAACTTAAATATACAGATTTATTATCAAGTTTATCAACAAAATCGTACTTATCAATAATGAATAATTTTAATTAAAATATAGTACAGTTTAGCATAAACAATGCGCTTAAAAGTGGGGCTTTTGATAGCCAACAATTTTTTAAACCACGTTTATTTATATTCAAATAAAAGATCAGGGATGGGCCAATTATAAACTCAGTTTCTATGGAAAACTTTTGAGGAATATTACACCTGGACTTCGAAACTCCAATCAGTAATTACGAGTAAAGAGTGCCAGGCCGGCTTTAGAAAGGGATATTCGACGGTCGATTGCATATTTGTTTTGGTTAATATCATCAAAATGCGATTACACAGAAAAGAAAGAAAACTTTACGCGCTTTTTGTTGACTTAAAAGCTACTTTTGATACGGTAGATAGGGATGCGTTGTTCCTAAACCTGTTTAATATAGGTATATCTTCTCGTTTCATAGCGATCATACGAAATTTGTATTCTTAATCAATCTCGTCAGTGTGGACACCGTTTGGAAGAACAGAAGCCTTTAAAGTTGGCAGTGGAGTAAGGCAAGGCTGTCTATTAAGGCCCCTCCTATTCGCATTGTTCTTGAACGATTTTGAGGATATATTGGTGACGGGAGTGTCAGTGGGAGGTGAAGACATAAAAGCACTTATGTACGCTGACGACATCGTAATTCTTGCTGATAATCCAGGTGGCTTACAAAAGAATACTACCAAACTAGAGGAATACTGTGATACGTGGAATCTTAGGGTGAATCTGGAAAAGTCGAAGATAGTTGTTTTCCTCAGGGGAGGGAGGCTTGGCTCGAAAGAGCGTTGGAAATACAAAGGTCAGGATATAGAAGTGGTAAATCGTTATACATACCTAGGAGTACAACTGACTTCTCAACTTTCTTGGAAACCCCACTTCTCGGAGAAATCGTGTTCGGCCAAGTTTGCCCTTAATTCTGTTTGGCAAGGAGCAATGATGCAGCCCCAGATCCCGCTAAAGGCTTAGCTGCATATCTTTAACGCGGTCTCACGCTCAATTCTGTGTTCTGCTGCACAAATATGGGGATCAGAGGAATTCGTGGAAGTAGAGGGCTGTGGTTCTTCATACGAAAACTGTCCAAACTACACTCCAATTTACATACCGTCACCCAATCTTTTATTGACTCTGAGTGGTCGTTATTTGGTTAAGGTGCTCCGAATGGACCACTCCAGATTCCCCCGTATCGTGGCTGAAGAGATCATCAGGCTGGGGATATCTTGGGCTGCTGACTGGGGGTGACTGGCGGACAGGGTGGGAGTAGGGTCTGTCCTTTTTGCAACCCGAGAGTAAGGCCCTCTCTCTTCAACTCCAGTCAATTATTAGTCGACTGAAAGATAGTTTTATGGTGAGCAACATAGAGAGAGCGCAGGCTTCCCGTTGATACCGTATATATAGGATGCTGGATCACGGAGTTAGATGTGCCAGCTTGGTTAGGGACCAAAAGCCAAATAAGAACATTACAGACATACGTTGGATCCTAAAACTGAGGGGAGAATTGCTGAACCTACGGCATAAGCCGTATGATCTCCTCAGCCATCAGGAGTTTGAGTTATGCAATTACCGGGTAAAGGAAGACATACACCATTTTGTCGCGGAATGCACCATTCTGTCCCCCTATCGTTTGTCTGCCCTCGGCGAAAGAACCGTATCAATGGACAGATGCATCAGATTGCTCAACGGACCAGATTGGACAAACTTGGTAAATTATGCTAAAGCGGCCTGGGCCTATCGAAGGCTAATAGTAAACAAATTCAATTAGTAATTCTCTTTTCTTTTCCTCTTTTACTGGAGAGGAACTTTACTGCCCATCTCTTTGCCCCCGCTCTTTCCCTTGATGTTTAGTGTGACTGTTTCTCCGGTCTCAGCTCCGCTCATTGATTTTTACTTATCATTTTTGTGTCCTTTTGATTTAGTGTTTTGTTATAGATATTACACGTAGCATAGATTTAGTTTCATGCATTTGTACGTTTATTTTATAGGATTATTCAATAATTAATCCAACCTCCGGCAGACGGCTACCTTGCCAATTAAGTTTATTTTCTTGTCTGAATTATCTGTAATTTTTTGGATTTTCTTCTTGTGTGCAATAAACTTATTATTATTATTATTATATTATTACACTAATTGCGATGGTTAACAAATATGACTCTCTACTTACAATACTGAAACATACGGTTCCAAGTATAATAGACTTACGAATTAAATTTACAGTAAACGAGATCAAAGGAGCCGTTTATTAAATAACAAAATACAACCTTCATCCTGCTACCCTTTATAGTACTTCCAATACATCTACCCATTAAATCTAAAATTATCGTAATAATGTCAGAAAAATATTCATAAATTGGAATTAATGTCAACCATTAAAAATGATNAAAATCAAAAAATACGTGTTTAATATTTTAATCGAATTTTAAAATTTTACATTTTTTGGTGAAAGATTATACGGGGTAACTCAGGCCAAGTTCAACATCAAAATTACAAATTAACAATATATATACTGACAGGACTTAAAGGGTTTATTAAACTGAAAACAATGGTGCAATCGTATTTTAGATTGGTCAAAAAATGGCAAAATTTTAGTAAAAAGAAACCGGCAGAGTAATTTCGATAAGAAGCTGAATAATTTACCGTATGTTAGCGAAAATCCGAATTCCTCGCTCGTAATGTTGGGAGGGTTTTTCGATCCATTCTGACACCAACTTCCCATCTCAACTGCAACCTGAGAAAAAAAATGGCAAAAAGGAGGGAAAGTTGAAAGGTACGGTTGAGATGGGAAGTTGGTGTCCGAGTGGATCAATCCGAAGATCGTGTGTTCGAATCCAGCTCATGCCATTGACTTTTTTATATCAACTAAAAATCTTAATTAATCATAATGTACTGTACCTTGTTACAATGGGCATCATCCGACCAAGAATTCAACACAAGCAGTTTTTGGGTCTTTAAACACGTCACACACTTTTTTTGCTTTGTTTTTTTCTAACGCTTAAAGCGACTGACCAGCAACTCCGATCCTGCGAGGCTCCGCTCTCCGTTTAGGCCTCCGCCGTCCTCCTCTTCTGAGTTCTCTATCGTCGGAACTTCTTTATGTTGTGGATGGCACTTTGGCGGCCTTTACGAACTGGGTTGTCATAGAACTTTTTAAACGCTCTCATCTTGTCCAAGGACTTTGGACGATGATTATGACAGACGTCTAATATTCCTTGCACAAACGTCGATTTGGGAGGCGGAAGAAAACGTTCTTCCATACATCCTATGGACGGATGAATCCATGATCACCTCTAATTGCATACCAAATTGTCGTTTTTCAAACGTGGGCAGAGGAAAATCCCAGAATTTTGTACTTTTGCCCTTATCAGGTGTTCACAGTAACAACGTTTGATGTGGACTTCTCGGAAATAAATTAATTGGCCCTTATTTCTACGAAAATAATTTAAATGGTGATCAGTTCCTCAATGTTTGGGGGAGATTTTACCAACACTATTAGATGTTCAGCAGCAACAACGACAAAGAATGATTCTCCAGCTTGATGGATGCTCCGCACGCAATTCTTTGCAGGTGAGAATTTATTTGAATCGTCAATTCCGGGATAGGTAGATAGGACTTCATGGCCCGATCTGTTGGCCTCCTCGGTCACCCGATTTAATTCGACTTGACTTTATTCTGTGGGGCCATTTAAAAAACAGTCTACGCCAATCATAACCCAGCAACCTCAACAGAAAAACTGCGGCAAAGGAAAGAAAATGCTTTCCAATCCATCTTCCGTGGCTCTGTCGCTTTGAGCACCGTTCAAGATTGGTTACAAAAAGCAAATCTTCGCATTTTTACGCAAGGCAAATAGTTCGAACATGAAATGTGATTAATAAATAGCAAACAAAAAGACTTTTTCAAACTTTTTGCCATAAATTTGTCATTTTTGACTAATTTAAAATTCGTCTGCACCCTAGAATTCAGCATAAAAATTTCTTTAAAATGATATGTCAGGATGTATAGGGTTGCATTCGACATTTTGAAGCTGAACAGAGCTTGATGCTCCATATACAATTTTTCTCAAAAAAGGTAACAATTTAAAATTAGATTAAAAAATATTAAACACATGTTTTTAGGTTTTGTGATAGCCCCATTAGTTCAAAAGAAGTTTAGCCGGGCCATCTAAAAATAATTTGTTAGTGTATGTATCAAGTGTATATCATTGTTTTAAAAACTTTCTGCTAATTAAGTCTATTTATGCCTTAATATCAGAAAGAATATCATCGTGAAATCATTACAAATAAAATAGATTTTCATTACATATATTTGATTTTTGCACTAAGTAAATATTTTAATATATGGTGAATTTGTTGTTTGAGTGTATTGTAGGAGAGGTTGCCTAGGAGAACACTTCTTTACACTGAAACCTCGTCTATTTTCACTCAACGAGCAGTTTTCGGGGCCACTTTCGCTTGAATCGTATTGGAGGATTTTCGGGTGGGTTGGAAGTCCTAACTGTCGTATTAGCAGATGTATGCAAAAAACCATTTTAAATTTTAAAATTTATTCCTGTTCTTTGATTGGAATCTCGAATTTTTTTTCCATAAGTTCACTAGTTTTCGTGGTCCGCTTGGCCAATTAATATCTTTAAATTAATTAAGGTTTTTAGTTAAGATAAAAAAGTCAGTGTCACGAGCAGATTAGAACCCACGATCTTCGGCTTGATACGCCGCTGCTCTACCACTTGAGCTATCGTGACCTCGATCCACTCGG